CGGGGAAAGATGGAGAAATATTGGAAATGGGGGGGAAGACGAAAACCCAGCAAATGTCTGAACATATAGGGAATCTTGGGATTGTGCTTTTAATTTGCGTGTCCCTGGGCCCCATACACAGCACCCACAACACGGACCCAGGACCTGTGTCGTGGGGTACGTGTGGCGGCTTTGAAGGGCCTCGTGGGGCGCCCATCGTGGCCACTGCCGAGAGTCCGCTCCGGCAGTGGGGCCCAAGGGCACCCCACCCGGGCTCTGCACAGGCGCTGCATTCCGTAACGTTTGGGGGCCTTCTTTGGCGCCCTCGGAGTCACGGCTGGATCCGCCTCCGAATTCTTTCTTTACCCCAACGCACCTCATGCGCGTACGCCCTCGCAGGCGCCAGGCCGCGTGCGGTGAGGACGACAAGGAGGAGGAGGAGGAGGAGGAGGAGGAGGAGGAGGAGGAGGAGGACGAGAGGGAAGAGGAGTGTAACGAGGACCAGGAAGAGGTTCAGTAGGAGTAGGACGAGGAGGAGGAGGAGCAGCAGCAGGAGGAGTAGGAGGAGTACAAGAAGAGAGGGAGGAGGAGAGTGACGAGGAGTGCGAAGAGAAAGAGGAGGAGGAGGTACATAGCGGAGGCGGAGGCGGAGGGAGGAGGGTGGCGGCAGGGGAGAGTGGAGGATGGCGCAGGAGGGGCGATGCGGAGGATGGCGGATTACGAATGGTGGCGGATAAGGGAAGGAGGGAGGAGAGAGGGGGGCCAAGGAGAAGGAGGAAGGAGGAGGGGGGATAGCAGCGATAGCCACGAGAGGAAACAAGGGTTCTTGTAGATGCATTTGTTTTATATATGTATAGGTATACACACATGGCGAGACATAACGACAGAGAGAGAGAGAGACAGCGACAGAGAGAGAGAGAGAGAGACATACGTGCACACATTGCAGTTTTATGAGATGCAGACAGAGCGAGAGACATCGACAGACATACAGACAGAGACAGAGACAGAGGCAGAGGCAGAGACCATATAATCATGTATGGAGAGCGAGGGAGAACGAGAGAGCGGGCGAGGGAGAAAGAGGGATACGGAGCTGGGGGACAGGCATGAGCCTGGAGGCAGGAGCGCGGAGGCGGGGAACGAGCAGGAGAAGGCTCCCAACAGCCGCTGCCTCCGCAGATCGACCTGCCGACCAGGGAGGAGGATTGGAGGAGATCCGGCGGGACGGTGGAGAGCGGAGAGGGAGGGAGGGAGGGAAGGAGGGAGCAGAGCGGGAGGAGGAAGAGGAGGAAGAGATAACCTTCAGGCCTGTAGGAACTAGGAACCATGAGGAGGAGGAGGAGGAGGAGAAGGAGGAGGAGGACCAGTGTAAACCCAAGAGTCATCAACGATGCTCCCTCTTCATAGGCCCCTACAACGGTTCATTTCCATTGAGGGAACTGCTTCGTTGGAAGACAACTGTTCGAAGACCTTGAAGTATGCCAAAGCATTGCTCTCGGGACTTCCACGCCACGGATCAACCTGACTGCTGCGTCCTGACGATCTGAAATCGTGCCAGAACGCCATGTTCGGGACTTCAACACCGCGAATCAACATAATTGCTGCACCCGCATAATCCTGAATCCTTCCAAGACGCCTTTCTGGTATGTTGGTCATGGGAACCTGTGGAACTCTTGCAACTGTTAAAACATGTGCACGGCGCTAAGGCAAGAGCCACATTTAAAAAAAGAGCCGCCCTCAATCCGTGAAGCTCTTGCACATTTTCAGTGCGAATGAGCGCGTCGCTAAGGCGAGAGCAACATTTTGAAAACGACCCGCCCTCAATCCGTGAAGCTCTTTCCAATGTTCAAAACGGATGCGCGCGGCGCTGAGAGAGAGCCACATTTTGAAAACCACCCGCCCTCAATCCGTGAAACTCTTGCACATGTTGAAAGCGAATATGTGCGGCGCTAAGTTTGAGGCGAGAGCCACATTTTGAAAAGGAGCTGCCCTCAATCCGTGAAGACTTTGCAAGTGTTGAAGACGAACGTGCACGGCGTTAGATCGAGAGCTACATTTTGAAAACCATCCGACCTCAATCCGTGAACCCCCCTTGGCAAATGTTAAACACGGTTGTGCGCGGCGCTGGAGCGAGAGTTACATTTTGAAAACCACCCGCCCTCAATCCGTGAAGCTCTTGCACATGTTTTTATATAGAATCGAATGTGCGCGGCGCTGAGGCGAGAGCCGCATTTTGAAAACGACCCGCCCTCCATTTGTGAAACTGTTTCCATTGTTTATGCTTCTGAGTCACAAATTGCGAAGAAGTCTGAGGCGAAACGCCTGGCCCGCCATGAAAACTGGCCTCGGGGTGCGACAGGGAGAAGTTATTGATAAGGACAAGGAATGGAGCACCGACCGACCGAGGAGGGAGGGGGGGGGGAGCGCGCGCGCCCCGAGCGGCGAGGCGTGGCAGGCTCCGGGGCGCTGCCGTTGGGCACCCCGTTGGGCTCGTTCGCGCCTCCCGGAGTGGCGCTGGCGGGGTGCGAAAGTGTCGGGGTCGCCGACGACGACGACAACGACCACGACGACCACGACGACCGCGACGACCACGACGACCACGACGACCACGACGACCACGACGACCACAACCACGACGACCACAACGACCACAACCACGACCAAGACCACGACCACGACCACGGCCACGACCACGACCACGACCACGACGACGACGACGACGGCCAGATTTTGGCCGTTTTCGGCCTCCAGGGGCCTTCGCTGGGCCTCGGGACCGTTCAAAAACGATTCAGGACGAAAAACTAGCCCTGGGAATGTGGTACAGACCTCCCGGTCTCCTGTCGGCGACTACGTTGGGCATGATTGCGCTGGCGCGTGGTTTGCGATCGGCGCCGTTGGGGCCTGCGGGGCACGAGGCTGTCATCATCGGGTTTCCTCGGGGCGCGGCGAACAGCTTTATCGAGATCCCCGCCAGCCCCCCAGGTTGCAAACCACACATCCTTTGCTAACCACGCCCTCCGGAGGCGCCGGCGGGGGCCGCCAGGGGCCCTCACATGCCGAGTGCGTCTAGCGGTGCACAGCCCAGGCGCTGGCCGCCCGTGTCGCCGCTCGGCCGGCCTGCTTTCACGAGCGTGGCTTCTCCCTCTTCTCGGCCACGCTCGAAGAAGAAAAACGCCATAAACATAAACTTTTGGCGCTCCGCGCAGTGGGTCCGCGCTGGGCCCCCCCTGGCCCGCTCCGCGCGCCAGGGAGGGGGGTCCAGCGCGGATCCGAGAAACCCGCGCGGAGCGCCACAAGTTTATGTTCATGGCGTTCCCTCCCCTCCTGCACGCAGAGGGGGGGTGGGGGGAGCGGGGAAGGCCTCTTGGGAGCACCGCTGCTTCTTAGCAGGCCGCCTTCCTGTCTCTCCAGCGTTCTTTCCCCTCCTGCACGCAGAAGGGGGGTGGGGGGAGCGGGGAAGGCCTCTTGGGAGCGCCGCTGCTTCTTAGAAGGCCGCCTGCCTGTCTTTCCAGCAGGCCTCCGGTGCCAAGCGGCCCCGCGGTCTTGCACACCGGGCCGCCGGACCTCTCGGGCCCTTCTTGTGGGCCTAAGTCGGGCGTGTCCCTCTACAGGAGGAACATCTAAAGATAAACAAAACATAGTCTGGGGAGGATGTTTTCATTATTATGTTATATTTTAGAGTATGTTTGCTGCTGTTTTTTATTTTTCGTTCAAAATCCGCCTGTAGGGGGACACGCCCGACCTAAGGCTATTTCTTGTCGGTGGCTAAGAGATGGGGCCCTGAGGGAGCCTTTGCTAGCCTGCCGATTCCCGCCAAGGCTTTTCTTCCTCTAAACGGAGCCTTTACTAGCCTGCCGATTTCCGCCGAGTCGACTCCTCCCGACTTGGCTGCCGATCTCCGCCGATCCGATGCATTTCGATGGCCGATCCGACTTATCCATTCGATGCTGGGCGCTGCTACCTCTGTTGGAGGAGCAACGGCAAAGAATGAAGATACACTGCCTCAATGCTTGCACTCCTTGACGATCAGGGTTTCCAGCGCCACTGGGGTCGGCGTCATCTATTGTTGGAGCACCCCATACTCTGTACACGACGCCTCGCGGATGCCACGCGAAGCGGCGCTAATTACGGATTGAGCCGGCAGGGCTAAGCGAGAGCAGAGAAGCCGAGCCGAGTCATCGTCAATCGGGGCCAGGTTGCCTCCACCCCCGCCCAGCAGAGCGTGCGGTTTCGCTGTCGGGGGCTCATCGCCGATCCACCCCCTGAAGTGGCGCCGCGCGTGCGAGAGTCTCCTGACCTCGGAGAAGGGCCGCTCGAGACAACGGTGGCCCTCCCTGGCGGTTCTCGTCATTACTGGGAGTGCCGGAGGCTTCTCGTCGCCTCGGAGGGATCCGCCTCGAAGAGCAAGCCAGGATGGAGATCCCAGGAGGCCGATCTCGAGCGGCTCCGGGCCGGGCGGGAGGGCCGCCGCCGTCTCGACGGGCCCTCCTCCGAGGACCACCTCGCCGATCCCGGCCGGGCCGATGCCTGGCCTAAGGATCGGTGTCACCACGCGTGCTTCCCTGGCCGAGCCGGACGGTCGTCCACGCACCGATCTTCGGGATTCCAGGATCGGCCAGTCCAGGATGGGAGAGGCGGTCGGCTGTGACGTCCCCCGTGGAGTGCTTCCCCCTGCTCCTCTCCTCCTCCTCATCCTCCGCCTCCTCCTCCTCGTCCCCATTCCCCTCTCCTCCTCCTCCTCCTCCTCCTCCTCCTCCTCTCCTCCTCTCCTCCTCCTCCTCCTCCTCCTCCTCCTCCTCCTCCTCCTCCTCCTCCTCCTCCTCCTCCTCCTCCTCCTCCTCCTCCCGCAGCTGCTGCTGCTGCTGCTGCTGCTGCTGCTGCTGCTGCTGCTGCTGCTGCTGCTGCTGCTGCTGCCATTCTTGTGCTTTTCCGATAGCTGCCGCGCTCCCGGCTCGGGAGGCTGCTCGGCTGCCCCCTCCCCCCCTCAAGGTCACCCCCCTCAGTCCCTCTCTTCTTCGACTTCCTGCCGCCTCCTCACTCTTCCATTCGAGCAGGGTCCATGACAGATGCGTAGAATGTTCGTAGATCTACGATCATTTTACGTATGCCCCGACGAGAAATTCAGTTCTGGGTAAAGCAATGATGTAGTAGATCCCCTACTCGATCCGTCCCTCTCCCCCCTCCTCCATTAGCCTCGTCCCCACCCTCCCTCCTCTTCCTCCTCCTCCTCCTCCTCCTCATTCTTCCATTCGAGTAGGGAGGATCGACTGCAGAAGTGATGAACCCCAAACTTGATTTGTGCGTCGAGTCCATGACAGATGCGTAGACTGTTCGCAGTTCTGCGAGCATTCTACGTTCGACCCGACGAGGAAATCAAATCTGGGGAAGAACAATGTTGTAGTCGATCCCCTACTCGATCCTTCCTTCTTCGCCAACCTGTGGCTCCATGCCGCGCCAATTCACTCTTCCCTCCTCCATTAGCCTCGTCCCCATCCTCCCTCCTCCACGTCGTCGTACTCTTCTTGAGACACTGAGACCCTGAGACATTCATTGATGGCAATGGAGATCGTCGAACGCTGCCGCTTCCCTCAGGGCTGACCAAAAGCCAGCCCTGAGAGAGTAGAATGTAGAACGTAGAAACAGTTGACAGGTGCCACTGGCCGTCGACGGGGCCGGCCACACTGGCCAACTGGGAGGGCAGAAAGGCCCCTCCCCCTGCACATAGGAAGTCATCCCGAAGTGACCCCCAGGTACCCCCACTGCAAGCAGGAGTAGGGAACCCAGACCGCGGAGGTGGGGTCCACTTGGGGGGGTTCCGTGTTTTGGGGAGGTGTTTGCCTTCCACGGCGGCGGCACGGTGGCCGTAGTGCTCCTCTTCCTCTTCCTCCCACTCTGGGTCCTCATGGTTCACCTCACACACAACCTCCCCCAAGGCTCTGCTCCCTGCGCTAGTCGCAGTCCACTGTAGCTGGGGGCCTTCGACAATGGTCGGTCGAGTCTGTACACGTGCGGCAAGTCTTGGGCTGCCACCCAGGGCTTGATCGGTTCACCCCAGTCTTCCTCGGTCCTAGGACCCCCCGTGCTTTTCGCAAATTCTTTTCGGGTTTAGCACGAACCCTAACTGATTCAGCGGGTGGGACAGCCGAGGTGCAAAGGTCGGCGACGCGGAGCGGGTGAGGTCGGTCAGACCTTGGCTGGGCTGCACCCGCAGCCGAGTCATGTTGTGATTCTCTCAGACAGAGTCTAGCTAGCATTCAGCAGATTCATTTGGACGGCGTCAAGTTCGACACCCACACGCTCATCGGCGAGCAGTGGGAGGGCGCTTGCATCATTCAGTTCAGTGTGGGTGACGAGACGCTTACGGCAGCATACACTGGACAGGACCCAGAATGGGTGGTCGATGACTGTGTTATCGACTCTCTAGAGGACGCTGTCGAAACCATTCAGGGGGGATCTCCATCAGCACTTTCGGCCATTCTTGACGATATCGGCAGCGACTTTTCTGGCCACGTGCAGCTGGTCGGCAGCGCGGCATGAAGTCGAAGGGCGGAAGACCTGATCCAGGAATTGGAGGCGTTGGACAGCGACGACAGTCAGCATCTGATCTACGCTGCTATCGAGCACGCTGCGGCTGCATTCGGCCGCCGGCCACGCGAATGGCCCCATCACCTCGAGACGCAACACCAGCTTCAAGGCATCTACGCGCAGTGCCACTAGTACCTGCGCGGCGCCGCCCTGGACGACTATGCCACGCTAGAGAAGGAGGACGAACGAAGAAGACGCGCGGAATTGTACGTCGACCTAGGGGTGCACGAAGCATCCGTGAGTTTCAACGAGGAAACGTCCCGCAACTGCGTTGCCGCAGATTCCTGCGCAGCCGTGGTTCACGTGTACACCGTCGCCGAGACCGCTGCCATCAAGCGCGACGCCGTTCTCGTGGCCAAGGAAGAGGTGTCCAGGTTGCCCATCGACCATTGATGTGTCCGCAGCCATCCTCGAGGAGCTCACCATCTGGGTCAAGTGCACATGTTCGATCGGCGACCAGTCAAGGGCCCCCGAAACGTCATGGACTCCAGGCACGTCTTCAAATTGAAGCACCACAAGGGCCCCGACGGCAAGACCGCGCGGATCAGCCGGCGCCGCACGGCGCTCAGTGGTTTCCGCGACACGGGCGCCGGCGGCTTGGAAACGTTCGCGGGGACAGCCGAGCGCGCCTGGCAGCGCGCGCTGTCTTCGGAGTCGGCGCGCCGCCTGGGCTGGGCCCGCGCCGCTGCGGACGTCGAGAAGGCTTTCTCGCGGGGAACGACGCTTGCCGAAATGCTGGAACAAGGTGAAGCACCACGCGGGCCTGCCGCCCGGCAGCGCAGCTATCCTCAGGCAGGTGCCTGGCCACGCGTTCTTCGACGAGAGGACCGAGCGCCCGCGCTGCATCGAGCCGGGCGCGGGCTGCACGGATGCACCCCGAGCCTTCTCCATGAAACTCGCCGGGGTCGCGCGCTCACCAGGGGGCGACGCCGCGCCCGCCGCGTCGGGCCTGGGGCTCGAGGTCAAGCACGAGGCGCCCAGCAGTTGCGTCGCTGGCGATTCAAATGCTCCGCCCGCGTTTTCCGAGCACGTCGACGATCAGGAGATCGCTGGACAAGGAGCACGTGGACAAGCTCGTCGGCCACACCGGGAGCGCATTCGGCAAGATGAACGGGGCCCGCGGCGACCTCGCCAACAGCAGCACCCACCGACAGTGCAGCGCTGTGGCGCCCGACCAGGGCGAGTACATCAGCGCCCCGATACTGATGAGGCACGTCGACCCGGTCGATGCGAAGGCCGACAGCACGCAGGACGTCAACAACCCGACCTCTTCGTCTACTCGCTGGGGGTAGGTGCCCGCGCCACGCCCGCCCAGCAAGGGGTCGCAGCGCTGGGCGGCGCAAGTGGCCAAGAGCAAGTTGCTTATGGGACGCGCCATGCAGCTCAGTTCTGCGGCCGCCCCCGCGCAGTAGATCGAGGCGCGCGTCGCCTCTCCCGCCGCGGGGCGCGCCGGCCAGACCCAGGCGCGCGGCGGCGGCCCCTTTGGCGGGGGGGGCCTGGCGCCTCGCGAGGCGCGCCTTCTACATGCACCTTGGCAAGCGCTGCAGCGATGGCAAGGAGGCGCGCCGCTTGCTCGACGCTGCGAACCGCTATCACATACTTGCGCGCAGGTCTTCGTTCGGTCACGAGCTGCTCGCAGCGCGCTGAGCAGCTGACGGGCTGCAGGCCCGCCTCCTGGACTCCGCGAGGCGATCCGGGGCCCAGTCTCAGCCGACGAGATCAGGAAGCTTCGAGAGCGGAGGGAGGTTTCGCCACGCCGGCAACCCTGGTCGTGGACGGGGCGTCCGTCCTCGCGGCCGTCGCCGTGGATCACGCGCGCCCGCCTTCAGAGCACGGCGCGGCAGGCCGCCCTCGGGGGCTCTCCACCAGCTCCGCGCCCAGTAGATCACCGACATGCTTTGGCGCGACACCCGCAACGCGAGAGCTGACCCCGCGGCGGCGGGGGGCATCCGGGAGCTGCTCTCGGGCGCGATGCGCGGGAAGCTCAAGCACGACCACGCCGCGGTCGGACCGAGTGGCGAAAAGCGCAAGAAGACCGCGCCCAGTTCCCGCCATTGCGACAGGAGGACGGACGTGGAGAACGTTTCACCGACGGGATGAACAGCTGGAGGGTGCGCTGCATCCTGCCGCGCCGCAGTGGAAGCCGCTCCGCCGTTGCTCTTCGGCCCGCGGTATCAGCTGTCACCTGTCGGTCCGCCGCGTCAGCTGTCATTTGCCGTCTGCAGAGCGGATGCGGTCGCACGTCGCGAACTGCGCTCGCGGATGCGATGCGGGGAGAGGGCGGGGCAGCCGCATTGCGCGAACTATGTTCGCCAATGCGACGTAGCAGGACATGTCAGAGAACGCCCGCAGAAGGCGAACATCGTTCGCAACTTCGATTTAAGGAGAAAAGCAATTAGGGGGATGCCACCATGAACTAACTGTGTTAGTGGAGCAGCAGAGTCTGGCGTGTAGCACGTACCATCTTCTAACGGCGCTCCTCTTCTTGTCTGCTCCCCTCGCCCCCCCTCCCCCTTGAACTTTAACCGAGAGGGGGCCTGGTCAGTAGAAGGCCCCTGTAGTTACCTGGCTTTTGTCGCGGGATGCATCGGCCTGCTTCGGTTTACTCTAGGGGCCCTGCCGGAAGTGGTTGGCCCCCCCCATCGCGCGCCGTGAAAGCATTTTGCGGTTGGCACCCTGGGGGGCCGAGGTGCCTTGGGACGCCGCGAAGTCCGGCGACTCCCAGAGCGCGCCGAAACCAGATTTATTTTTCCCGAGGCAACTGTGTATGAGGCCTCACTGGTTGCGGCACGGCTTGCGTGCGGTAGCTGACGGGGCACAGGAAGGCTTGTTCGAACACCAGACTCGAACGGTAGCCCATCTCCTGCTCCTGCCTTCTTTGCCTTGTTAATCGCATCCCTTTTTCCGCCGCCCCTGTTGGCTCAGGGGCACGTGGTCCGGCTGGACTACGTGCCCGTGTTAGACCCGCGTGAAATCGCAGGCAGAACAACAGCGCCTGCTTGTCTTACCCTTCGTTTTCTTAACCCGCCCCCCCCTTCCGCCTTTTCTCCCCTCCCTCTCCTCCCTGTTCCCGTCCCTCCCCGCCGCCCCCCTGGCGGCCCAGGCGCCCGTGGGCCCCGTGCCGCACGCGGCCGGCCTCCTCGTGGCCCCGCCGCCCCTGGGCGGCGTGGCCTCTACGCCGCACCCGGCGGGCCTGCGCCGGTGAGCGCCTGAGCCCCGGCTGCGGGTTGCGTCGTCTACAGCCAGGACGCGGAGACAAGGAACACTTTGGATTCGGAGGGGGCTCGGTTCCGTGGGTCCTGCCAAGGCTGGTCCTCTGGGGCTCTTCGTCCACACCAGGCGCTGCGGGGGCCAGCAGGGATTTTTTGTTCGTCATTTGGCGTTCCTCGCGTCAGCAGCCCGACTGCACACGCAAGAGCGACCTGCCGCTGGAGTGACCTCTGGTGCGGGCCCGCTGGGGCCCCCGTCAAGGGAAGAACATCCGCGCAGACCCGATAATTCCCCAATCAGAGCTTGCCTCTGTAGGGGTCCTAGCGGATTCATATGGTTAGGTGACGTTCGTCGCCGATTTCGGTGGCCGGCCTGGGTGCCCAGGTGCCCGGGTGCCCAGGTGCCCAGGTGCCCGGGCGCCCGGTAATTTTATAGGCCTCTATAGTTTTATAGCTTGCAGCCCTAAGCTTACAGCCTTTTAGCCCCAATAGCCCTATAGCCCAATTGCCCTATGGTTATAATAGCCCTATTGCCTTATATCCTTACAGCCATATAGCCCTACAGCCCTATAGACCTCTAGCCCTATAGCCCTATTGCCCTAGATCCCTATAGCCCTAGAGCCCTATAGTCCTAAAACCCTACAGCCCTATAGCCCTCTAGCCTTCTAGCCCTACTGGAGCCGTATAGCCTCATAGCCCTACAGCCCTATAGCCCTGGAGCCCTACAGCCTCATAGCCCTATAGCCCTAAAAAGATGATGCTTGGGTTTTTTCTCGAGTATCATTGGCGTTTACTAAACGGTTCTGGGCGTTTACTAAACAGCCTTGCCCTGTTCGATTCCTTCTGTGGGTACGTTTCATGGGGGGGATTGATGCGTGTGTCGGCTTCGCGTGTCGGCGTGATTGATGGGGGGTGCGTTGCCCCCCTACCCCGATCGACGAATTCAGTGCGGCAGTAGCTTTTAACGCGCGTGGGTTTGGCCCCCCCGCGGCCTCTCGCAAAAGCCGCGCACCGAAGGCCGCTGTTGCCCAGGGGGCCCAGCATGTGGGTTGCCGCCCCCCTCTCTCCCCACGCGGCGACCTCGGGCCGCCCGCCCCTCCCCAGAGACCCAACGCATTGGCACCACAAGAAAAAGGGGCCCTCGCTGGGCCTTTGCGGCCATCAAGGAACGACCTCGACTTGAACAGCCGGCCCCAGGGGCACGTCGGCCACGCGCGGAGTAGGGTCGGGGGAGGGGGGGGTCTGTTTGGAGACTCCCCCTGCTTTTGAGAATGCGCGGGCCTTTTCTGTAGATGAAGGGCCGGCGCCTTTTTGAGAAGCAGCCTCCTTCTAAGAAACCTTCCCCCATCCCCCAGATCACCTTCGTGTGCACCGCCGAACATTTCGGATGCAGCTCCTGGGAGGTCAAATTCTGACTTTGCCCTGGTCCGAAGTCCTGCGTCATCCCGCTCACTCTGGCCCATAAGCCAGCTTCATCCGCGGCCCAATCCGGCGGAGCAGCCCCCCAATGGGGTTTCATCTTCATTGGAATCTTTCCGACGAAGCCCTCCCAGTGTGTGTTTCCTAAGATCGAAGAAGGGTAAAAGCCATATAAATACTCGTTTGGCGCTCCGTGCGGATTTCTTGGATCTGCGGTGGACCCCCCTCCCTGTCGCGCGGAGCGCGCCAGGGGCGGCGCCGCAGGCGCCGCCCCGGAGGCCCAGGCGCGGACCCAAGAAATCCCCGCGGAGCGCCACAAGTTCCTTTGTATATTTTTGTTTGTTGATATGCCTTCATCGAGACGAAGACCTCCCAGTACAGTCAACCCGCACAGTAAGGATGGGCAACCTTACCAAGGAGCACCCTTGCATCATTGCCTCCCTGGTCCATCCTTGGTCACTTTCGCTCGCCGCGCCGCGCTCGGAAAGCTTCGGGATGGCCTTCCGAGGCCCTTGCATCCTTGTCGCTCACCCTTATGATGCGGGCCGACTGCAGTTGCCTCCTAAAGACACGATCCAGGGTTCCGAAGACCCCGTGCTGGAGACAAATCTGGACGCCGGACCTCTCTGGGCCTCGGCGGCGCCCCCTGCTTGCGCCGCCCCCTGCCGGCGGCGCCCCGCCCTCCGCCGACACCCGCTCGGGGGCAGCGACAGGGGGGGGGGGACCTGGGCTCAGGCGGAGGCACATCGATCCCTTGAGGAGGAGGAGGGGGAGGAGGAGGAGGAGGAGGAGGAGGAGGAGGAGGAGGAGGAGGAGGAGGAGGAGGAGGAGGACGGGGGGGAGGAGGAGGAGGAGGAGGAGGAGGAGGAGGAGGAGGAGGAGGAGGAGGAGGAGGAGCAGGTGGAGTTCGGGCGCGTCGACACCCAAATCGCCCATGGATCGCCGATATTCTAAGAAAAACATCATAAACATACACTTTTGGCGCTCCGCGCGGATTTCTTGGATCCGCGCCTGGGCCCCCCCGGGCGGCGCCTATAGCGCAGCCCCTGGCGCGCTCCACTCGCCAGGGAGTGGGGTCCACCGCAGATCCAAGAAGCGCACGGAGCGCGGAGCGCCAGATGCCGATGTACCTAAGCCGCCTTCCTACTTCACAAGAGTCGAGCGGTTTTCTCTCTTCCCTCTTCAGGGGGCGGGCGGAAGCTCGGAGGTTGATAGACCTCCTACCCTGACACGTCGATTAGTGAATTGGCCGTTTTCGGTTCGCGAGGGGGCGCCGCGGCCGTCATCTTTGCGGCTACAGGTCCGTCGGTTTCGGTCCCAGGCCGTTTTCACTAAAGGGTGGTTTACTAAAGGGAGGTTTGTCCACCGCCGAGAAGCCCAATCTACTTCCAACGCCTTCCTACATCATGTTTCTACCCATTTCTTCCGACCGACGGGTGGGGGTCCGATAGCCCAACCCCGCCCAGAAGCATGGAGATTCGCTATCGGGAGTCTATCGGCGCGCTATCTATGGGCGATATTTCGCCGGTTCCAAGTCGGTGTTCCGCCCCCTAGCCCCCGCCCCCCTTATCGTTGCCCCCCAGCCTCCTCCCCCCGCCGCCTCGTGCTTTGACGTGCGCCCCGGGAGGCTTTTCGTCCTTCGCGGCCTCCAGGGACCCTCGCAGGGCCCCGGGACCGTCCGACCCGCCTCCTCCCCCCACCTCCTTCAGCCACGCGCAGAGGGGGGGTGGGGGGAGAGGGGGGCTTCTTAGAGACACCCCCTGCTTCTTGGAAGGCGCGGGCCTTCTCTACAGATGTAAGGCCGGCGCCTTCTAAGAAGCAGCCTCCTAAGAAGCCCTCCCCCCTCCCTCCCCCCCCCCCCACCTCTTCACGCGGTGAGCAGCGAAACAAAAACGCCCCGGGAGGTTGTTCGACCTTCGCGGCCTCCAGGGGGCCTCGCAGGGGCCCCTTGTGCCGAGGGGGGGGGCGTCCTCTTCCCCGGGGGCGCACAGGCCTGAGTTGTCAGCCTCCTTCTCCCCGTCGATCCTCCTCCTCCTCATCATCATCCTCCTCGTCGTCGTCATGATCGTCATCATTATCATCAACATCATCATCCTCATCAGCATCATCAGCATCATGATTATTATCAGCATCATTATTGTCAGCATCAGCATCATCATCCTCATCATTATCATCATCATCACCATCAGCAGCAGCAGCACCAACATCACTGTCTCTCGTTCATCATGGCTCGTTATCGTCCGTCCTCATCGCTCCTCCTCCTCCTCCTCCTCCTACGCCTACGTAGTTCCAATCTTCCACGGCCAGGAGGGGGAGCGAGGACGAGACGGGGAGGAGAAGGCTCCTCAACGTCGTCCTCCTCCTTCTCAGCAACATTTGCTCACACGAAGCGAGGCGATGTGACATGTAATGGACATGCAATGGCACGTGCTGTTCACCGTGCAGACAGGATCACGGGCAGTGCGGATGAACCGAATAATGCGGGTCGCCTACGAGTCGGGATGCCGATTCGAGCTTGAAACAGATGCGAAGCACATGGCTGTCCATGTCCTCATCTGCCCAAGGCCGAACCCTGTGGGCACTCTGCAGCAGAGAGCGCTGCTGGACCTGTGTTCGTAGCTCCCTCACAAGACAGCGCGCACGGGCGAGGGGTACTCGAACCAAACCGTCTACAAGAAAGTTCGGGCCGAGCTGAGCGACACGCTTACAGTCAGTCTTCAGCATGACGCGCCGCATTTGAGCCATGATCCAACTCTTGATCTACACTTATGCTGCTCCCCTTCCGCTCTCATCCATCATTCTGGCATGATTGCAGCGCCGCTCTCTCACTCTCATCCTCTTCATCCTCCCCCAGCATCCCCAGCATGACATGCTCCGGCACAGAATTACGTGCTGCCAGAGGGGTGCGCGCCTGGCTAGAACAGCAAGCCTGCGCCTCCTCTCGGCACCGGCCCGATACCGCGGAAGCCGTACTGGCGTCCGTACAGTACGTGATCTACGTGGCCGGTCGTTTTTTGTACGTGCCAATTCGAGTGATGCATGGTGAACGGCGTGGTTCGAGGAGTGTCGGACGGGGCTAGGACGAGGATAAATACGTTCCAGAGCGTTCCGGAATGCTCTCCGAGCGTTCCGGAATGCTCTGAGAATGCCGCGGCGCCCGAGACGGGCTCCAGAGCCGCCAGGTCTCAGAGCTTCTCGATTTTTCATCATCCGATGTTATCCTGGCGCTGGCTTCGTCTTAGTGGTTCGAGGGGTGGCGATGCAGGATGATCGATGAAGACGAGAAGCACCTTAGCTTCAAGTCGGGCATGCCCGTCGACAGGAGGCATATTCAAGAATAGTAGCAAAAAATAGTCTGGGGACGATGTTTCGATTCTGTTTCGGCTATTGTTGCGTATGTTTTGGCTACTCTTTTTTATGCTTCGCCCAAGCTCCGCCTGTAGGAGGACGTAGCCGACCTGACCCTGGCATTCGGCGGTCCGCTCAGATGCCTTGGATCTGCGCTGGGCCCCTCTGACGGCGCCCCCGCGCGCCGCCCCTGGCGCGCGGGGGCGCCGCCAGGGAGGGGGGGCCCAGC